CTGAGTCTAGGGCCTGTACGGGCAATATCAGAGTCTGCAATGATGTTTCCCTCCGAAAGGGAGGAGGTACCGGTTGCTTGGGAGGCCCAGCGGCCGGAAGTCACCTGTCTCTTATACACATCTAGATGTGTATAAGAGACAGCTCCTCCTCCTCCTCCTCTCGTCTTCTTCTTCTTCCCTACTCCTCCTCCTCCACCTACTTATTTTTCTCCCTCTCCTCCTCCTCGACCTCCTTCATCGTTGTCTTTTTTTTCCTGTCATCCACATACACTACCAGTAGGTCCTCCTCCACCTCCTGCTCCTCCTCCTCCGCAGCCTCCTTTTGTCTTGTTCTTCTCTCCTCCTCCTCCTCCTCCTTCCGTCTTCTCCTCCTTTCATCTGTTCGCTTTTCAAGTCTCTATCTTCCTCCTCCTCCTCCCTCTCCTCCTTCCTCTCCTCTCCTCCCCCCCCCCTCTTCTTCTTCGTCACCTCCTCTTGGTCCTCCTCCTCCTGTTATCTTCTTCTTCTCTTCCTCCTCCTCCTCCTCCTCCTCCTCCTCCTTGTTCTTCCCTCCTCCTGCTCCTCCTCCTTTCGTCTGTTTCGTTTTTCAAGTCTCCTCTCCTCCTCCTCCTTCCCTCCTCTTCGTCTTGCTCCTCCTCCTCCTCGTCTTTTTCTACCCTCGTCCTCCTCCATATCTTACCGCCCACCATCTCGCGTATCTGGCAGTCATATTGTACTGCCCGCCATATCGTACTGGGCGCTTTCTCCGGTTCACTTTTTTTTCCCTGCCCATATTGTACCGGCAGACAGCAGCTTCTTCTTCTTCTTCTTCTTCCCTTCTTCTTCTTCTACTTCTTCTTCTGCTTCTTCTTCTCCTTCTATTTCTCCTTCTTCTTCTTCTTCTTCTCCTTCTATTTCTCCTTCGGATATTTTTACTCTCTTTTTTCCCTCACTGTTGGTCCTTGCATCCTCTACTTACACGACACTATGGCGGGCAGTGGTATTGGTGTCGGCGGGGGGAGGGGCGGGTCTGGAAGGACGAGAGGCAAAACGGCAGCAGACAAACGAAAAGGACATGTTGCAAGCACCTCCACTACACCCTCATCGACAGTGACCTCCAAAGATCCCCATTCTCCCCCCTCCCC